AAAGAGCGACCCAAGTCAAACTGAGCAACACAGGCACTTCGACGAGAGGACCTATGGTCGCTGCGAGCGCTTGGTCGGAGCCTACACCGTAGATTGAGATGGATACGGCTATAGCTAGTTCCTATTTGTAAGGTTTTTTTTAATGATGGAACACGTGAACGAGAGGGAGAAATGGTATGAATATATTTGAGTATGAGGTTTTAAACGAGGAATTGGAAGGGAGTGCCTTACGAAATTGTTAGAACCGGCTGTGAACGCTTGGACGACTGCCATGTCGTATCCATATCCATATTCGTACTTGCGCCCGGATTTTTCGGACTTTCCGAGGGTTTGTCTTTGTTCAGATGTATCTGGGAGAGCAGTGGCACCGCGGGTTTGGGTGAGGTCGTTAGTAACTTGAACTTCTCGTTTGTTGGCGCGATCGGCATCTTCAACTCGAACTTGAACTTGAGCTTCGTCATCGAAGATGGCGAGTTTTCTGGACTTTGATTCTTCTCGTTTGTGTAACCAGAAAACGAGGCTGAAAGCTAGAGTCCACATGATGATGAAGTAGAGGATCATTGGGACGAATACTCTGAAAACTGGACCTATTTACGAAAAAAAAGGGAAACTCATGTGGTCAGATATGATTTTCCGTAGTAGATGAAGCCCAAGTTCAAGGAAGGTAAAACAGAGAACTCGAGATAGTCGATAGACTTGAAGGCTGAAGTTACTCACCGAGATGATGAACGATATTTTTCCCTTGATAGGCAAACATCACGATGATGGTGTATAACAAGCCTATCAAAGCCAAGGGGGAGAACCACGGAAGGAATTTGTTGTCGAGGAAGGATTTGGAGGTAAAGTACCATATAGTATAGCGAGTGGAGATACCCAAAAGGAGGGGGATGCCCAGGTACTAAGTATGTATCAAAGATCGAATGTTTGAGGACTCGTATTTATACAGTAAGTAGAAGAGTAAAATCGACTTACAATTAAAACCGACACTGCGACATCTCCATAACTCACTCTAATCCCTCCATTCCCATCCCCTTCTCCTCCGATGAGGTTAACAAAAACCACCGCGTACGGTGCGTAAACCCCAATCTGCAAAACGGAATTGATCCCTACCAAGACTGCACAAAATTCTCTATCGCCCTTGGCTAGTTCGTTCCAAATCATCACCATCGCTATGCATCGGGCTAGACCTACCAGGATCACACCTGTTCGGTAAGTAGGGAGATCGGGAAGTGTGAGCCAGGCTAGACCGAGCATGAGGAAAGGACCGAGGATCCAGTTGAGAAAGAGAGAAAGGAGGATGTGGGTGTAGATTTTGCTGCTGTGATTAGTAGTAGCGTTATGAGAAGATGAACTTGAACGGATTCGGAACATGGTTGGAAGAGTTTCGTATTGGATCTTGGTTAGAACAGGCCACATCATGACGAGGAGACCAATAGCTATAGCTAGTCATACAGAACAAGTTATGAATTAACGAGATTGTTGTGATACTACCGATAAAAGTACTTACGAACAGAAACGCTTTTCAATCTTACAGTATCGAATGCACCTTGGACGTTTGGAGCAAAGTTCCCGATGACTACTCCGAGGATCATGCAGAGCAGGATAGCGGGAGTGAGGAGACGGTCTTGAACACTAAGCTTGCGGAATAAGTTCGATGATGCTAAGAGGTGAAAGAAGAAGTAAGTTTCACAGTTTGTTCCCCTCAAACAAGTGGTCTTTTTGGACCACCACCATAACGACTAAGGGGGTTAGGTTAAGATAAACTCACTCGCTTCTTCCGGAGTAATCTCTCTAGTTTGATGAAGAGGTTGTTCATCTTTTGAATCCATTTTATACGAGTGTTTTCAAGCGTGAAGACAACGGAAAGATGAAGTAGGATGGTCCAACCCGTGGGAGGAAGGATTGGAGGTTTTGAATTCAAACGATTTTTGATTTCGTTATTTAACAAATTCGGGGTTTACCGATTTCAAATGTGCACGTGCAATCTAACAGCTAGTCAAAAAAGTTAAAAACCTACCAGACTAAGTACCTCCCCTAGCCAGAAAAGTCACAACATAAACGACCCCACAAGTAGGATGTATGTCTAGAGTGGACTAGTGACTTGGGTATGATTTTTATGTACTTGTATGGCAGAAAGTGGCCTGTAAGTAGTCTCGGGTATCCAGACTACTACCTTGACTCGGACACTCATCGTGTGGCGTAAGTAAGTGTCCTGACCCGTCAATCGGTCAACCCAGCACGATGAACAGATTTTCCAATATTCTTAGGAAAACAGTGTGTGGTCCGGGGTTCAAGATTCGTGTATTACTCTACCCGTAGATAAAGGTGGTCGGTAACTAAAATATCAAAATCTAAAACATAAACAATAAGTCGAACTATTGGTATACAGGAATGGGCCAAGGACGCCCCTCCAACAGATATCATTACAACTACAACTATTATATACCATATTACAAAACGAATTAGATATACAGTAAAGAACGTCGAAATTATTTGCTAAACATGTCAAATGTTGGTCACACGAAACAGGAATTAGTCGTTTCAGAAAAGAAAGAATTAAGTTGGTATCAGAAAAATCAGATCCTATAAGTTCTCCTACACTCGACTAGTTTACCCTGGCTTCATACACATACTCAGGCGGAGGTCCCGAATTGTCATACCCACCCAGCCTCTCGTTCTCCCTCGTCAATGATTCAATTCTCTCCTGTAGAATCCTGATCTGTTCCGTGGGTTGTTGCGCTTCCATAACAGACGAAGAAGCGTCCGGAATTGGATCTGAATGAGCCATCATTTGCCTCATCTTGGTCATTTGTCCGTTGAGTCTTTGCAGCTCTGTGTGGCGCTGTTCGACTGACATGTCCCTGGGAGATGGGGAGGTAGCATTAAAGTTGCCTTTGGACCTGATCATATTTGGATGTCCGTAGGGGAAGGGCGTAATGGTTGTCATAGTCGAGGCGGGTAATCGAGCGTTACTGCGACTAGACGCAGAATTTTGAGAATGAGCAGCAAGAACTTGGCGCAGAGGTGCTAGGACCTGATTCGTATTAAGATTCGTGCTCGATGTAGCATTCGAATCGAGGTCTAGTGGTAGTATTTAGTAGAGGGCTCAATCGCTGTTTAAACAGACGAGGAAGCACAGATACTTACAATGAGTTGTTTCATTTGACTCCCCGATTTTTGGATGGCTAAAGCCGCCTATCAAGGCGTTACCTGCACTGGAGTTCTCGAGTTTGCTTCTTCTCATTCTTCGATACATGATCATGACTATAAGGGCCACTGTGACAGCAAGCAGAACGACTCCGCCAACAACACCCCCAGCGATCGCACCGGTGTTCAAGGATCTTTTTCTATCATTCGAATCCGTGTTGGTGCCACTGATACCAGATTCCTGGAAACCTCCGCCGGTGGGAGAGGGACCAGGTTCAGACCCGGAATCGCCGAGAATGCTTGAGAAATTTGGTTTAGCACCGAGGTTATCAAAGTTGGGTTGATATGTCAAATAGTCAATAGTCAAGCCCCTGGATCCGATGATCTCAGTAACTGTCAGCGTGAGGGTGTGGTTCCCAGATGACAAAGAGTCGACCATGAACAGCGGGTAGTTGGTCGAGTTTAAGAGGTTCCAAGGATTAGGGCTTGTCTGAATAAAGAACGACTTGTTTTCAGAATACTCGATTGAATTTCTAGATGTCGGGTTGGTGACTGTAAAGTTGACGGCTACACTTCCCTCCGTCTTCCAGTCGAAAATGCCATACAACGCAACATTTGTACCTGAATATCAGGTAAAGGTATTCGGTTAGCCATTAGCGTACACATCGGTCTTCGGTCCGTCAAAGATGACCGACTTTCAACTCCGTTCGTGAACCGGGGATTTGTACTCACCTGCAAAAGTGAACGACATAGAGTCACCAACGTTGTTGCTTTCTCTTGTCCCGTTCCCAAAAGGCCTTCCATCATCGAGGCCAGTCACGTACTTCAAACCAGTGTGCTTCTTCCATTGTCCGTTCCAAGTAATTTCTTCGCTGAGATCGTCGACTATGATCGTTGTTCCATCCAAAGGCGTAGTGTTCCCAACCGTGACGACAACAAAGTCCACATCGATCTGGTTTAGCGCCGAAATTTCGACAGTATGGACCTTGGAATCGTCGAGAGCATAAGAAGTGAACCATTGACAATTGGTCCGAATTTCAGGATAGGTCGCGTTGTAGTTAGTCTCAGAGTCAATGGTGACCACGAAGGGTAAAGCATTGTCAGCAGGGGGAGTGTTTCCAAAGAATGCAATATCAATGCCTATTAATCATACGGAGCGTTAGAGAAACTCAATGAACAAGTCAAAGAAGAGAAGAGGCAGTATCTAACCTTGGAAAGATACGCTCATGCTTCCGGTTCTCGTATTGTTGGTGCCGACGGCCCAGAAAGAAGTACCACCGTACCAGAGCTGACTACTTTCGTTCCGCCACGCACCAGAAGGTGAATAGGTCATGAAAGGACTGGTATGATCCAGAATAATCTGGACCACCGAACTGGTTGAGGACGTCATTTGCTTCGAGCGAGACGTCTCTTCTTGTGAATGGGAGAAAAAATGCAACAATGAGATGTCGAAAGGTATGCCGCTTAGACCCCTCCCGCGCGGATGCTTTACATGATAAGTACCTCAGGCAAACCTGATAGTAAGCAAAGATTCACAATACTTCGCGCCAGATCCTTTAAACCGGAATGCTAACATCTTTGACGATCAGCGCATCAATTCGCATAGGACACTACCAATGAAATTTCTCACTCCCGAGTCCCGGTTGACTGTTATTTGGAGGCGCTGCCATCACGATTCAGCGATTCTAGACGCCAGGCAACCTTCCCCTGTCATCTTCCAATAGACGCTTTTGGGACCTAGTTGGTTCACCAGATCCGCCACTTCACTCGAGAACATTCTGACTTTTGGAATTTTATCGTTGGAAAAAAATAAACAGAGAAGGGTGCCGACAAAAACATTCTCCCACAATCCATGGGGGTACCGCGGATCGAACGCGGGACCTTCAGAATGACCAATGATGTGTCTTCAGTCTGCTGCTCTCCCAGCTGAGCTATACCCCCGATTGAAGATCCCTATTCAGGAAGCGGACCTCACCGGAATTGCATCATCATATCTAACGTTTCACATTCCAAGAGTGACACAAACCGAGCGTTCTTCCAAAAAGGATAATTGGAAGCTGAAGTCAGGACCTTGAAGATAAAGGTAATACGACATCAGTCTTTTGATCCACTAGCAAGAACCTAACAGATATAAGCATATAAAATCCCGTTGAGCTGATACCACACTTACAACTGATCAGGTTTCAGATGCTAAAAAAAACATTGGAATGTCTTCATCTGAACTTTCACAGGCGAATAAGACGGGATGCGTTTGGTACGGCAACAATGGCGCGCCGGCTGCTCAAAAACATATCTTTATCATTTATAAATTATGGGCGATGATGGCTACGGGCCGGTTATGGAACCATCGTTGAGAGCCTCGGACGCACTTTTTATGGAACAAGTTTAACATCATCATGAGAAATCGTCAGTTGAGATCGAGTTGGCATGGCGAACGACCATTGAGAACGCAGTCCTCTGAGAGCATTAGTAGGCAGCAAGCTCGCCAAAAAACCAGCGCGACGACAGAAAGAAAGCTAGATTGGTTCAAGAGGTCATGCACACTTACAAACTGACGGGGATTATGGGACGGGCACTACGGGAAGGTCAACACATAAATAGTCGAGATTTAGAATGAATTGGGCGTTTTAAGTTGGTACATTAAGTACTTGTAATGGGATGACTGTAACATATATGGATGTTCCACGAAGAAGAGGACGAGGGAGGAAGGGTGGGTTGGTAACGGACTAGAACATTTCGTCTTCGGGCTCGGCTTCACCAGCTGGTGCCTCGAATCCTTCCTGTTGACAAAGACGCGTTCAGACACGATCCATAGCGGAGAGACAAAAAGAGGAAAAAGAAAAGAAACGCATATAAACCCAACCGGGACAAACTCACCTCAGTCGAATACAATATCGCCTGAATCTTCTTCAACGTTGGGTCCTGGCTCTCATCCAGCTGATTCTCCAACATTTCCTGCACCAAGATCTCGATCTCTCGTAGTTTCTCGAAATAGAAATCTCTCTCCTTCTCCAGTCCCTCCAAGTGTCCGTTCATCTCTTCCACCTGCGCCTTGAGCTGATGCACCACGACGGAATCCGTAGGCTGCGTCGATCCGGCGCGTCCTCCCACCGGCGTACGACCTCCCGCTCTGACTCCGCCTGCTGAAAGAGTCCCACGAGAACCGCCGGTGGTGAGAGGCGCGACAGTAGCTGGCGTGTCGGTTGGAGCACCTTTACGTCTTGCTGCAGCATCATAAACCTGTCCACCATAGTTCTGGTCCCAAAATCGTTTTAACCACTGGAGAAACTCGAGGTTGTCTTGCATCTTGCATTTGACTAGTTTTTCAATGGGTATAGGCTAGCGCCGGAATAAAATAGAATGAACAATGTCAGAGTGATAAAAAAGATTTATCAGATATAAGACAACACGCATGCAAACGACACGAGAATGGGGTCCGCCGACGCACCTTGGAGACCTTGTTGGCAGCAAATGAGTTTTGGAGGACTTTGAAGTTGGCGATATACTCGTATTCATGTTTCGCGTTCATCTTGACCCTGTTCATGGGTACATTGCCTGTTTGTTTTTGGTCAGAATTAGAGCACACGAGAAAAGTTCAGAAAATCGCGAAAGAAACCCGTCTAAGGGTCATCATTTCTCAGCCAAATCTAAACAGAGCGAGTAGACGCACCATAAATTGAGTCGATAACCTGACAATAAGCCCCACCACTTCCACATTGCTCGACTTTAGTATAGTTGATCTGGAGTAGCTCGTTAAGCCACGCCAACAGATCCGCGCGCGAAGTCATGATAAGCTTGCTAGTAGAAGGTCAGGGCGTCACGATATGGGTATTTGGGTGTCTATAATGGCCAAGGGCGCGTTGAAGGCGTTGAGGACAGCAGTCTACAGTGGCAGTGTCAAAGAAAGGCTGGGTCTTAGTCAGCGAATACTCTGCTAGCGAATTCTTTCAGACTTTCGGTCAAAAGAAATGTATCTTGACTATATATTACACTATTTTTACATACACGTCGACAAAGTACCCGTTAATCCCTACAATATGATACAGAATTTTCGCAACGTCCAATATACCACCTTTACTGCACCACACTCTCGACCAACGGCGCGCCCACCGGTGCCTTGACTTCCCATTCCAACCCCAAAGTCTCCGTCTTGCCAGCAGCCACTTCAACCTTCCATTCCAACTTGCCCGCCTTTTCCCCACCACTTCCATCAGCAAAAGCCTTTTGCCACATAACATTGACTTTCCTCCCCCTCGTCGCATTAGCCTTGACTTCCGGTACAATAACTTCTTGACCTTCCTTCGCATGCGCTAGACCCTCAGGTTGTCTCAGCACAACAGATACCTTATGTTCGTTCGCGTTCTTCTTGTCTTCATAGACAGGGACGCAGTCGTATACCCTGAGATCCTTCAAATCAAACGAGTGTTTGTTGGATACGACGACTTTGGTGTTGTACGTGGTGACGTTGAAAGCTTCGGTGAAAGAACCGGCTTGAGAACGCGAAGAACGAGATGTACGCGTGTATTTGACTTGGGTTGTTGGGTCGGCACCGAGGGTACAGGTGAAAGTGTCGTTGATGTTGATGTCCTATATGAATCGGCGTCAGTAAATAAAGGAGAGACAGAAAAGATAGAGGACTACTAACACCTATGGAAGTCTTCGTGATATGACCGTCGTCCAAAATGACGCTAACAGGCCCAGGAAGCAGCCGATATTCACTTGTATTCTTGACACGACACTGTAGGTAGAAACAGACACAACAATCTCAACAGTCAGCTATACGAGCTCAAAAGCAGAAAGAGCAGAAAAAAAGACAAGTAAACAAATGGAAAATCAACGTTTTACTCACCTGCAAATACACTCTCGTATCAAGCCTCGGTACAACTCCGTACTCAATCACCACATCATCTTCTTTCTCCTTCTCCCCTTCCTTCTTTTCCTTGCCCTCCCCATCACCCTCACCGCCGAAGACCAAAACCGCAACTGGCACTTGATGCTTAACTCCATCACTCAAAATCATCGCTTTCCCTTGCACCGAATATGTCATCGCCAATGGTGTCTCCACCACCGTCGTCGTAGACTGGTTCTGTCCGGCTTCAGATCCCACTTCCTCCTCCGAGTTTCCAAAAGTAGCTCCAGTGGGTAGAGGTATATCGGTGTTAGGCGCGCCATCAACAGGGTACTCCACTTGCTCGAAATCACCGTCAAAAGCAGTTCGAGAGGCAGGACGTGGTTGGTCCGATGTAGACTGGGACTGAGCAGCTCCACCAAAAGAAGGTTGTCCTGGGGCCAGAGCTCTCGCAGTTAGTTGGGGAGAAGACCCAAATGAACCGAAGCCAGTCGACGCACCGAAGGCACTACCACCAAATGCTCCAGCCTCTCTTGGCGGTTGTTGTTGTTGTTGCGGCGGCTGCGACGGCAGCATCCGTTGAGGGGGTACAGTGCCGAAACCACTGCCACCTCCCCCGAAGACACCACCACCAAACGTTCCAGCCCCTCCTGGCTGCTGTTGTTGCTGCTGCCGCTGTTGAATGGGTGCAGAGCCGAAACTACTACCTCCTCCTAATACCAACGGTGGGCCCATCACGTGCAGGGCCCCGTTGTTACCGTTGCCAGACCCAAAAGCATTCCATCCCTTGTTGAAGTTATTAGAAGTTCCAAACGCCGTATTCTGGAAAAGCTCATTCCTGTTTTCATTTCGACGGATTTGTACGCCCTTCAAGATGGGCATTCTCAAGGGCATTGACCAAGGCCCTAGGACTCTAGAGGAGCTGCGATAGGACGAGAAAACGGTGCTCAGAGTGAGCGAGGCGTCAGTCCAATCCTCTCCAGTGGATTGAGTGACGCAGGCGCTAAAGCGGAGTGAGACTTTCGGGATGGGTTTTCCTGTCGTCGGAGACGTGGTAGCGTGGAGCTCGTAGGTTGGCTCCCAGGACGCGTTTGAGACGACTGTGAGGGAAAGGAAAGAAGATGAGTCAACGAGAAGGGATAAATATGTGATAGATGTCTGATTGATTACTTACTGTAAGACAATTTGACCTCAGCCTTTCCCGTCCCTTCGTTCTCTCCTCCCAAAGTCGAGTTACTCAAGACAATGTCGACTCTTGCGTTTCTCTTTCCTTTCCTTTTCTCGACTCTCTCTTTAACCTCTTTAATCTTCCTCTCGACTTCGACAATGCGCTCTTTGATCTCTATCGACGCTTCGACGTTCTTTCGTCCACGTTCCAAAAAGTCATCCAAGAATTTGCCAATCGAGAACCCCTCTCCACCGTCTTGTTTTTTACATGGAGGAGCATACTGTGCAGACAGACTCCCCGAATAAGCCATGAGTAGGTCTGCCTCTTGCTCCCTGACCTTTTGCTGAGACTGCAAGGACGCGAGACGCACTTTGAGGATCCTAAGCGTCTCTTCCGGATCCGTCGTCTCAGAAATGTCTAGAACCTCTAGAGAATCAACCAAGAGGTTTTGAACTTGTTTAGACAAATTCGTTGTGGAGGAAGACACGAGAGTCGGTGGGCTCTCTGTGATGGTACAAACGAAATCGTATAGACGGAGTTCAGTGGAACCCTTTTTGCCAGAAACGCGGACGGATTCTCTGTCGATGGCATTGGGAAGACCGAGAATTTCGATTTTGTTCTGACCAGCCTATACATAGATATTTTGGATAGAAAGAAAAGATAGGTTTTGTTCAAACTCCAGAATGCACGAGATGGTAGAAGAAGAAAGTCACCTTTAGGTCAATTTCGAATGTCCTGACAACCTCGGCCCTGTACGATTTGAACACGGTCACGGACTTAACCGGGTAGTCGGGGGCATAGATTTGCAAGGGGCTTGTATACATCTTCAAGATTCTGATTGGATTCTAACGAAAGAAAACGCGCAATACAGAGATTTTTGAGACGTTACGCTTGGGTGATGGTGTCGGTACAAGAGGAAGTGAT